TTAAAACATTAAATATTGAGCAAATAATTATTTATCTTATCAGGACTTGAATCCTATTTATTCTTATTAGACTCTTAAACTCTATAAATGTCCATGATTGTGAATGAACAAAAAAATCTACATCCAAATAATATTCAATATTATTAAAATGTAATGTATTTTCCAGAAATAAAGCACTCAAAAAAGCCCCATTTCAACATTTTGTTGTTAAGCAACTAAAAAACTATGTAGTCAGTTTTTCAATTCATTCAAATATGCATGTAGTCAAAGGTAAATGGTACAGTAGTAAAATACTATCAAAGATGGACCAAATGTTGTGGAAAATGTAAAATTAATCATTTCCTCTTATTCACAAACTTGTGCTCCACCTGGATTTGGATCTATATTCTGCTTCCATTCAGAGTTTAAACACAAAGGATTTGTGGCTGATATCAGTGTCACAGTTTGCTTTACCAAGGATTTTCAGGTGAGAGATGAATAAACATTGTAAGTTACAGGATATGAATTCTAGGGCAATAGTTACATCATAGGAGTAAGTTTTTTGAGACTCTTTCAGAGAAAATCCCCAGCAAAATCTGCAAAAATTATATTTTTAGCTTCATAGTTATTTTTGTCCAATTTGAAGATGCAATTGTATAAAAATGTAATGAGCACTTTTATGATACTTTTATGCAGTATATTTGAGCTTCATCTTTCATTTTATATTGTGATGGAGAGTTTGAGTTCAAAGGCAAGATGTAGACCCACTTGAATGGTGAGGATTCTGGACAAAACAATTCCTAAGTACACGGACACTTCTCAGATACTTCTGGATTTATTCCTTATCTATCTTTAAAACATGACTTGAAGCAATTTATAATATTAATCCCACTAGTCTTTCTGTTTCTCTCTCTCTCTCTCTCTCTCTCTCTCTCTCTCTCTCTCACACACACACACACACACACACACACACACACACACACACACCAGATTAAAACAACAGCAGCAAGAAAAGACAGACAAAAATAAAAACAATTAGAAGAAAAAAGAAGGTAGATATGTCAGTGATGAATCAGGTGAGAAAGTACCAATGAGATGTTCAATTTCGCAATGAGCTTTCTAGAAACTAGAGAAAACAAGAAAAGGAAAATAGAAGTTACACATTTCTTTTTGTTTTAAAAAAGGAGAAAGTCAAGTTTATCATCAAAGACAAAATTTTCTTAGTATTATTATAGAAGAAGTGTATGCCATGGACCCTGTCATAAGCAATGTAATGAACATGATGTAAATATCCTCAATTTATATTTTTCAAAAGTTAACAAAGTAGTATGTAAATAATCATTTCTCTACTTAATCCAAAGGCTTCTATATCATCATACCTAACCTCAGAAAGGACGGGGATAGGCTCGATTGAGGCCAGATTGTAGAAAAGAAAAAAATAATAATAATCAGAGCCCTTGAAAGCCTGAGAAAAATCTGCACAAGCAAGTTGATGACTGCACTCAGTGCCCTGGATGAAACACAGGTGTGGCCTAGAACCCATTCCAGTGCCCTGCTTAAGGCACACTTCTTAGGCTTTGGGGTTAAAACTGAGGTTCTGATTTAGTGGGTCTGGGGTGGGCCCACACACTCTGTTTCTAGTAAGTTTCCAGGTGATACTGACACAACTGGTCCAGCGACCATGTGTTGAGCACCAAGACTTTAGGGAGCATCAACGGGTGACCTGAAAGAGCTGGGCTAACAATACTTGAGACACGTTTCCCTTGTGGAACAGTCCACACAAGACAGACTCCCAAGAATCACGCCACCCTCCTCTCACATGTGACATCACTCATTCATCGCAACCGGTTTCTGGTTCTGCTAAGGGTCGTGAAGCTAGTAGATTCCTTGTTTCGTTAGGAGCTCTGCAGTAGAATATGGGGCCCTCCTAGAGAGCAGAGGGAGAGGCAGACAGAGGAAGGAGAGCAAGCAGCAGGTGTCAACCGGGGCCACGAAAGAACACAGGAATTAATCCCAAATCACTGTAAGAAATATCAGGGGAGAAAAATTACCACAAATACCAAAAACTGCTAGTCAAGCAGATGAGGCTTTATACCATTATAATTTGGGGATATGAAGAAGAAGAGGTTGGTAAATACTAGACATAATACTATTATGCCAATTAAATCTATAGAAAAACATCTCATTAAACCTGTGAGGCAGAGAGCTCCTGAAAAGTTCCCAGGAAACACAGAATGATACTTAGAAACTAATTATATTAATATGAAAATGTCACGGATATTCTCTTTATGTAGTAACTACCATTGTTGTTTTATGTTAATGAACATTCTTCATCTATATGTCCAATCTTACCTTAATTTTTTCTTTCTTTCTTTTTTTTTTTTTTTTTTAGAGAGAGAGAGAGTGCAAGAAGGGGAGAGACAGAGAATCCCAAGCAGGCTCCATGCCTAGCACAGAGCCCAATGCAGGACTTGATCCCACGACTGTGAGATCATGGTCTGAGTCAAAATCAAGAGTCAGACGCTTAACCAACTGAGCCACTCAGGGGCCCCTCCAATCTTACTTTTTAATTAAGGTCTTAATATTGTCAAGCAAGAGTTCTTCCAACAGGATGCTACATCAGAATAGTATGAATTTTTATGGAATCATATGAGGTACTACTCCTCAAAGAAGTCAACCAAAAATTTTAGATTTACTATTAGAGTGGGTAACTCAAACTTGCAGCCCAGCTTAATCTGATGGGCTAAACTTTTCTTGTTCAGCCATTTTCATTTATGGATATTGTTATTAAGAATTCCTCGACCGCAGTGCCTTTACATAGGCCATGCCCTGTTGACTTGACCACAGTTCCCAGGGCAGATGGGTAGGTAACTTAGAGCATTTATGTGCCTAGAATCTAACTGCATTTTGGGTTGTAACCCTCGTATTAGAGTATTTAAGGAGGCAAATTCTCTCATAGGTCATCAAAACATGAGTAATTTTCGTATTTGCATTTGGATGTAAAGTTAACTTTAAGTTCCTGACTGCAAGTTAAATATTTCCTAGGGGATATAGGACACATGAAAAAAAAAACCGAGAAAAACAAAACAAAACAAAACAAAAAAAACAAAAACAAACAAACAAAAAAAACAAAAAACCTTATAAGACAAAGTAGAGCATAATAACTGCTATTAGAGAAGCAAAAAGACAAGTTTTTGTTTTTGTTGTTTTTGTTTTTTTTTTTGAGAGCACAGATAATGAAAGCTCAGGATGGTTTTCTCCAAAGAGCTCCCTGAACTAGCAGTTGAAGAATGGACAAAATTCTGCAGTCAGAAGGACCCAGAAGTGGGGAAGTGAGATGGTGAGAAGGGAAGAGATGGAGTACAGTCCCAGATGTTAGACAATATAGGCTATTGTCAAAGAACAAGGAACTGGAACAAAGTGGGTATGAAAGGAAATAACAAGAAAAAAGGGGGCATATTTTGTGAGAGCAAATTTCATTCTATTGCAGCTTTTTAAAAAATGTTTATTTTTGAAAGAGAGAGAGAGACACAGAGCATGGGGGGGGGGAGGGGCAGAGAGAGAGGGAGACACAGAATCTGAAGCAGGCACCAGGCTCTGAGCTGTCAGCACAGAGCCCTTCCCAGGCTAGATCTCACAAACTGTGAGATCATGACCTGAGCCAAAGTCAGACACTCAACGACTGTGCCACCCAGGCGTCCCCATTCTATTGCAGCTTTTGTCTGGTCCCTGTTCTCTCTCCCTTTCCATCAGAGAAAATTCAGCCACTAGACACAAACGCGTAGGCCTACCTATCTGCAGTCTGGTAATTACTACCCTCTTACCAAGGCTGAAAACCATTGCTCTTCTTTCGACACTTGTTCACGACGAAGCACCACACAACACTTGTTCAGGAGCCCCATCAACACCCTTCCTCCACATGCTCTGCACCAGCCTCCTCAGCCTACTGACTCACTGTGGAGGCTCTGGCCTGTCTGATTCTGCCTCCTCTCCAAGCTGTGCTTGCCCAGGCCCAGCATGCCCAAGCCCCACAGCTCACGCACAGCCTCATTCTCGTGGAGCCAGAGCATAGATTTCTAACTTACTCCTATCCATGTCTCTAGGCTTTTTTCTAGTCCCTTTTAATCAAACCCGTGGGGTCTGCCTATTTCTGTTAATGAGTCCTCTGTCTCACAGCCACCCAAGTGAAAAACAAAACCAACACCACTGGGTCATATCCCCTAAAGCTTATATTCCCAGTTATTCAACAGATCCTCATGTTGAATCCTCATGTTGAATGAAGGCATCCTCTCTATGCCTTCACTTCCTGGATATCAGAATGTTGGCACCCAAACTATTCCTACACAGGCCTTAGACCTACCATAGTGACAGGCAGCCCCCACTGAACACCAATTCACCCTGAGCGCCTACGTGCTCTGTGAGAGTCTAAAGTGTGTCTCCATATTCTCCACACGTCACAGTTAGATTCATTGGATGGGCTTCCAAGACCCTCATCCTCTGACCCAAGTCTGCCTGCTCCCTCTCTACAGCCCCTCCACACATTGCTCCCTCTACACATCCTCACCCTGGTCACCCCCAGTTCTGCACACACAGCTGGGGGGCTTGAGGCTGACAGGACTCCTCACTTTTCCAACTCAGCTCGCCTCTGCTGTCCAGGAAACCCTTCCTGACTCCTGACTCCTCATTGATTTTTTCATGCTCTCAATCCCTATATATAAGCTATACCATATTGTTTCATATCATCTTTAATATCATCTTCTGTCATTTCACATTTGTTCATTATGTCTTTGCAACTGACCCAGAGTCAATTAAAGTCACGATTTTTACTTGTTTTCTTTTTTGTCTTTTGGATTTGTTTTACTGTCACTCCAAGGATCCAACGTGATGTTGGCATGAGTATTTTATAAGGAGTTGGTGAAGACATGAGTTTGAGAGTTTCCATTCTCAGTGGCTACAATTGTTTTTAAATAGTCATGTCAAAGGTGCTGGAGAAAAGAGTGCTGTGCCGAATACACACTTACCAGAGAAGACACTAGGTATCTTGGAAAGAAAGCTTTTGACGGTACGGATAGGAATTCCATTTTTTTCATCTTGCATGCGTGCTATGACGTCTTCCATCTGTAACAAAATAATTAAAACCCTTTAAAAGTTGAACTTTTTAGAAAAATCAGTTCTTGTAACAATTACACCAGTTTTCCCCAACTGAGTATAATAGCACATTCTTGCCTTTCTACACTTCATCATATTGATATTTTATTTTGGTTAAAAGACGATGGAGAAAACAGTAAGCAAAGTGGCCACTTTAAACTCCATTAAGCCACTAAAAGGAATTCTGTGCTTTGAATAGCACCTCTCTCTCCTGGTTTCACATTCTTTGGTTATAAAGGTCGACATAAAAGAGTGTTTATTTTTGAAGCTGTCAGAAACCACTGTAATAGCAAATTTCTCCCTTCGTTAATGTTTTCTCTATGGAACTCAGTGCAAAAGAAAAGAGAAACCTTAAAAGTGTCCGTGTGCATTTCCTCTTCAAGCAAGAGACTTTCTATGATTTGGTTTATTGTGAACTTTAACCCACCTAGAAAAATAGAAAAGCAGGACCAACTGCCAGCAAGGGAGGCTTCTCTTGCCCAGGCATTTACTCAAGGGTGATTCGTACCCGCATGATCAGATGCACGCAGCACTGTAGCTCTCGGCCCATTTCCACCGTATCTATGTTTCAGTCTGATTAGTACACTATCTCCTGCTTTTGAGAAGTTTTCACGGTTTTAAAGAACTATGCTTTACAAAGCCTGATGTGGAATTTAGTTCTGAATAACATTCATGCAAATCATTACCGCTGTGTGTCTCTAAACCTGTGGCACGCATATACGCACAAACACACAGAAGTGGTGTCATGGAGCTCAACATCCAGTCATTCACGGACTCGTTCCACAAACAGCTGGGATCACCAACTCTAAATCAGACTTACCGATGGGCACCGTGGAAATGAAAATGAACGTAATACAGTTGCTGTCCTCAAAAAAAAGTCACAGTCAATACTGAAAACAGTGGTAAAATCGGAGTAAGGTTTGTGGTTTGGTTAATAGTGTACTGGGGCGCCTGGGTGGCTCAGTCGGTTGGGCAGCCAACTTCGGCTCAGGTCATGATCTCGCGGTCCGTGAGTTCGAGCCCTGCGTCGGGCTCTGTGCTGACAGCTCAGAGCCTGGAGCCTGTTTCAGATTCTGTGTCTCCCTCTCTCTGACCCTCCCCCGTTCATGCTTTGTCTCTCTCTGTCTCAAAAATAAATAAACGTTAAAAAAAAATGTAAAAAAAATAGTGTACCAATATCAATTTCCTGTTTTGGGTAATTTTACTAGAATTCTATGAGATGTTTATATTAGCGGAAGCTGAGTAAACCGCATCTGGGAATTCTCAGAACTATTTTTGCATCTTTTCTGTTTAAAATTATTTAGGGGCGCCTAGGTGGCTCAGTAAGTTGAGTGTCTGACTTTAGCTCAGGTCATGATCTCACAGTTCGTGGGTTCAAGCCCCGTGTCGGTCTCTGTGCTCATAGGTCAGAGCCTGGAGCCTGCTTCAGATTCTGTGTCTCCTTCTCTCTCTTCCCCTCCCCCACTCATGCTCTGTCTCTCTCTGTCTCTCTCTCAAAAATAAATGAACATTAGAACAATTTATTTTAATTATTTAAACAGAAATGTTTAAAGTTTTAATTTTAAAAGCTTGAAATCATTCCAAAATAAAAAGTTAACAAAAATCACAGTCTAAACCCTATATCAGTGAATTGCCAAATTCTCACCAACACAGCTTCAGAATGGTTTTCAAATAAGAAATTTTATTTGCCTGGATGAGTATTTTTCAGACTTATCAACATGAGAAACTGTTCACCAGAAACTGGAGAAGTGGGAAGAATGGGTTTCTGACTCATGCTCTTCTTATGACCATCCATGTTGCTTTGAGCTAAGTAAGCAACCTCTCTAAGGCTGCTTTGTCACCTGTAAGTGGTGATAATAATATTTATAATTACTCCTTTACAGTGTTCAGTGTTCATAGGGTGGGGTTGGGGCTGGGCCGGGGTAATTATTTTAAGGTGAAATGATACAACATACGTAAAGCACCATACACAGATAATAAAGCTTGGACTTCAAATATCCACACGTACCCCCAATGCTGAGGGATGTTTATTCTCCACTCCCCATGTTTTGGTTTGTTTTTTGTTCTTCTGCAGAGGGAGCACCACTGCCTCAGTCCCCTACACCTTTCTGCCCCTCACACCTGCCACTCCAGGCCTGGGCTGACTGATCAGGCAGAAGAACTGGGAAATGAGCAATTGGTTGTGGGCCCATCCTCCTTCCATTGGGAAGCCCACATCTAACTCTGCTGTGTGAGAGACCTGCCCGAGTGAGCGAGTACGACTGATGAGGACTGGGTTTCAGGATTAAAGTTTATGTGTGCATGAACATTCTTCAATAATAGCTGTACCTGCAATGCAGCTGATGCTGTGACTTCTTTCTGCCTTACGCTTTAGTTGTGGTTCTCAACTGGTTCGGAATTCGGAAAATGAAGGTGTTATAATCGGCCCTCCAGAGACCCTAACAACAGCTAAATCGTTTCACATAACGAACACATTTCATCTAACTATAGAAAACTGAAAATAGTTATACTTTTATGACTTTTTGTTTTGTTACTGTTGGCCCTTTGTTCACCTGACGGTGTCTAGGAATGGAAAATAAGCTGTTCTGAGATGTATAGTGGCAGCCTGTAAACCCTTGGATCAGTTTAATGGTTTAAAGTAGGTCAGATTAGACAGATGTGGAAACTTCTGACACCCATTAGTACCTCCAACACCCCAGGATGTGGCAACACTCAGCTCTGGTGGGGGATGAATTAAGGTTCATTGCTATGAGTAGAGGTGTTTTCTCTGCAAAGTCGCACCGCCTCTCAGTTCACTGGATCCCAAAGGAATGAGATTAGGAAACTGGGAATTGAAAATGAGCTCTGTGGTTTTATTTTGAAAGTTTCAACTTTTTTCTGAGCCATAATTTCCACAATAGAAAAAAAAAAATTAAACTCCACGTAAAAAGAGGATGCGTGTTCTAGACTGAAAATGTGATCATCAAAAGGTATTCAGATGTTTTTATCTTTATTCAGATATTATTTATCCATGAAGCGTATTTACCATGACCTAGAAGGAACAAAGAACAAATCAAACAACAAAACAAAAACAAAAACAAAAACAATCTGGTTTCTAAAAGGTAACATCAGTCCCAGAAGCCACGTGGAAAAAACATATCCATCTTACTTAATAAAGTTTCCTTAAGCATTCACTTGGAGTCTATTTATTTTCATATTAAGCATGGTTTTAACACACTTGATTATCTGCTCTCCCACCATTTGCAGTGGCAACTTCGGTGAAAAACAGAATGTTAAAAGCAGAGAAACTAATAGAGAAAGCTAGGCAGCAAGAGGGACAAGAGAATATATAAAGTAACCCCAACAAATACTACACCTCTGTGGGATGATTTAAATTTAACGTCAAAAGACTCAGATAGCTCTCAGATAGCTCCAACATTCCAAAAGAAGATATATACACATACACACGTCTATTGATCAATCAGTCTGTCATCTGTCATCTTCATCAGTGTGCCATTGAGCTGTGAAGGGTTAGACTGTGTTCACTCTCAAGCCCTAGGGTGAGGAAAACTTCACCATGGGATGACAGAACACTGAGCATGCCTGGTCACTGGGCATGCCTGGTCACTGGGCATGCCTGGTCACTGGGCATGCCTG